AAGGGTTTATTACATGTGCTGCATGTGTGGTGCACACCTGTCATCCCAGCTACTCAGGAGGCCGAGCCAGGAGGATTGCAAGTTCAAGATTAGCTTGGACAACTTAGTGAGGCCCTGCCTCAAATGTGAAATTATATATATATTTGTACCAGAAATTGAACACAGTGCCTTGTGCTTGCCAGGCAGGCGCTATGCTGATGAGCTATATCCCCAGCATGAAAAGCTATTTCTTTATTTGTTCTGAAACTCAAAGAGGATTTCCTCAGATTGAAGTTGTGAAAAATAAAAAGCCACGTACATACGTACAGTGCAGGCATGGACAGAGTGATCCTTGTTAGAAAGGGCGTAAGATGCCTTGAATGGAACTTGCCTAGTACACTACAAGCAGTTATGTCACAGCTCCACAGACAAGTGCAGAAGAAAATAAATCTGGCAATTTTCTTGTTCTGTTGGAAAACAGTGATGAGTGGCCAGCAGGTGCCACTGCGGTCAGTTGAGTATTTTCAAGTTTCAAATATGGAAAAATCAGTCATTACCAAAAACAGTCATGAATAAAACAAAGGTAATCAATCATGGTATCTTTTAAAAATTAAGTTACTAAATTACTGCATAATTGGATTGTATTTTATGTATCTAACAAAATAATTAAACTTTTGGCAAGTAAAATATATGTATTAGATTATTAGAAAAAAATTAACAAAGGAAGTGATGAGACTTCTATGTTTAAAAATGGCTATTTTGAAAACTTAAAAGTTTTTGTAATAGCAAGTATGGACCAATAGGTACTTTTAATAATCAAGACACATTCTGTCCTGATGAGTGACATTAAAGAGAAAAATAAAACAAATCAATGTTGCTTCTTTCCACTGTTATTGTGACATCTCTAAAATTTTACATTTATAAAACTAATATTCAATTGTAAGGCAGTCATTGCAAGATTTACTATTGATTATGGTCCTATCTCCAATTTCTGTAAGTTAAGTCTTTTTAAAAATAATTTAAGACCTAGTAATTAACAAAGACCTTAGCAACTGATTCCTTAAGCAAAATATACATGGCAGGCATTGTCCTGTTCTAAGCTGGTCTCACAAAGCATACAGGGAGACAAATAAGCATAGTTTAACACTTCAGTGACACCTGTATCTTTCTGAAATATTCCCGGGATGCCACTGCATCTTTTCTTGGAAAATCATCAGTTCCACAAAAACCTGTAAAAATATAGTTCTTATAAATATTTCACAAATTTTCGTGTGGAATCAAATTCTTCAGTACGGTATTTTGACTTAGTCACAATAAAACAGTAAATTTATACTATTTGGTAGACATTCTACTAGTTGTTGTAAAGGATACAGAATAAATAGACTTCTGTCCATAAGCAAAGCGTAGGGTAGAAATAAAATAGAGGCTTTTTGTCTGAGTAGACCTAACTTAAACTAAAAAGTTTCTGTTCTTACATATAAATGGACCCAGAAAATGGTGACGCCTCATAAAAAATTTAAGAACTAAATAAAATAAGAATGTAAAATACTTTTCAACACCTAGCACAAAGTAGGAGCTGGGCAGGTGGTAATTTTTACACAAATAACAGTCTTGGAGAAGAGGTAAGATGGGTAGTTGAACACCCTAGTTCCATGGAAAGTAGAAAAGGATAAGTGATATATAAGGGAGTAAACTACATATGAAATTTAAAAGAATATATTACAGACAGAGGGATTCAGGAGATAACATTTAGAGAATGCTTGAATGCTTCAAGATTTTCACCGGCAGAGTTGCGGGCTGATCTCATTTTGGGTTGAGAAGGTGGAGTCTGAGACAGACACTGAGGAAGCCTAGCTCTTGGCCCTACCATCTTCCCTACCCCCATCACACCCAAAACAGAGCTCAGGTTTCAACCCTGCCAGGGAATTCAGAGGTAAAATTTTGGAACCTGTTAACTGAATAAGTAATAAGTAAGAGAATATCTTTCTTCAGAAATACACACTATTAAGGTATTAAGGGGCAGAAGGTCATGAGACAATGAACCTACTCTCAAAATATTAAGAATTAATAAATATGGAGATGGGTATGACTGTGTGCATATCTACATCTACATATGCAGAGAAAGGGAGAAAGAGAAAGCAAACATTATATGGTGTTCAAAATCAGAAAAGGTGAGTAAAGGGCAAAATGTTAACTATCTGTACTATTCTTGCAATTATATGTAAATTTTAAAGATATCAATATTTATAAATGAAGTTTTAAAATACGAGAGTGAGTTAAGGAGAGCCAGATAAACAAAAGCTGAAGAAATTATGGAGAAATTTCTTCAGCATAAAGGGAAAAATGCCAGAAGCTCAGATCTTCAGAAAAAAACAAAAGGAGCAGAAAACAATAAATTCTGTATAAAATATAAAGTATAACATTATGTCACCCTCTTTAAATACACTTCATCAAAACAAAAGTGTATATAAAATGTTTTGAAATGTGTAACATTTAAAGTAGATTATGATAAGGTTAGGTATAAGCTGGAATCACTAGCGCAATATAAATAAATGAGAAGCACATAGAGAAAAGCAGGTAAAGTTGAATTAAAAATAACCAATTAATTATAAAAGATGGCAGGAAATTAAAAACGGTAGAAAGAATGTGTGAGAATTTCTTTTTGGTGCTGAGGATGGAACTCAGAGTCTTGTATATGCAAGGTGAGAGCTCTACCACTGAGCCCCGCCTACAGCCTGAGACAAATATACAATACATAAGAAAGTAGATGCAGATCCAACCATATCAATAGTTAAGAATAAATGGCCTTAAAGTCTTCAAGAATAAAATAATGTAGAACTAGATTTAAAAATGAAAAATGGGAACAATTATATGCTACTTACAAGAGACTTTTAAATATAAAGACACATATTGATTAAACATAAAAGGGTGGAAAAGGATATGTATTAACTAAAGAAGCTGGAATAGTTATATTAATATTAAGCAACATAACTTTTAAAGTGAAAAATATTACTGGAAATAGGAACATTTCATAATGACAAGAAGGTCAGTTCATCAAAAAATAGCAATCTTAAATAGGTATTCATCTCATAACATTGCTTCTAAATTAATGAAAAAAAGAACAAAAGAGAGGAATAGACAAAGCCACAGTTACTGTTGAAGAATCTAATATTAGTAACCAATACTAACACAGATTTGTACTATACTTATAAAAATATTTGATATTACAATTTTAAAATATCAATAATCAAAACTGACAACTCACACTATAATTAAAAATTATCTCAACAATCAATATTGCAATAAAAAATCAATAAAGATAGAAAAAATTGGAACAATATAATAAATTAACTTGATACAAATTACTTTATTAGACAACTACACACAATTACTGAAAAATATTAAAATAGATGTGGTCTATGTACCAAGATAGATTGTGTGTTGGACCATTAAATATGTCCTAGTATTTCACGGAATTATTTCCCTCCATGCCACTAAGAAATCAAAAGGAAAAGAACTCAAAATATGTAATTGTGTTTTTCAATTAGCAATTTATTGTGATTTTGGCAAAAGCAGGATTAGTGAGGTACTGAGTGACGTCAGCCTAAGTGGTCCAAAGGGTGAAGGAAAGGTGAGGATGAAGGGACCCTGAGCACAACTGGTGCTCTCCAGAAGTTTACAGTAAGGCAGAGAGAGAAAATATTTATTATGCGGGGGAGGGAGGATAAGAGAATTTTTTGTTTTAAAACAGGACAGAGAGGCAAGCTTTTTGAATGAAGAGATGAAGCCGGAGGAAAAAGGCATAAAAAGGAAACCAAAGGGTGGATAACTAGGGGCAAAAGTCCTGGAGGATTCAGAGTGGGAGGCAATCAAGAGAAGAGGTGAAGTGATTAGCCTTGGACATGAGCACAGACATCTTTCCTCCTCAAAGAACAAGCTAAAATAGATGCAAGAAGACCTTCATCTTAAGTGTAAAGCAAATATAGAAAATTATTATATACTACATATTAGTATTTGCAACTAATTTAAGGTTCAGTACAAACACATGCCTTTTGACAAAAGATTCTTAAATGTCTTAAACTGAATGCATATAAAACTTCTTTTCATGTACTTAGATATGTTTCTTTTCTTTCTTTCTTTCTGCTTTTTTCTTTATGGGGGTAGTGCGGAAGGAGGTAGGGAGGGGAGGTGAAAGAGGCATGCAATTGAAGGTATTAATTTCCAGTGGCCTCTTTTCTCTGTAAAAGGGAAGCAATGTTATCTACTAAGAAACTGGGGCAAAATGAAGGCAAAAATATTTGAACAAAGTAACAACACTTTAGCTGCTATAGGAGGAAGAAATAATACCAATCTCAAATCAAGAACTTCGATTCTTCCTGTTTTCATTCAGATCATGATTTTAAAAAACCTTCAGGTGAAAAATACTAATACAAAAATTGACAAAGACAGTGAACAAGCAATCAGGAGAAAAAATACCCACACGGTATATAGGAGACAATCTCCATCCATTCCAGCAATCCCATAAGTATAAATTCAAACAGTGAAATATCATGCCCTATCCTATCAGACAAGGAAAAAAAGGGTTCCATGTCACTGAAAATGTGAATGAACTAAAATTTTTGTATCCTGCCCATGGTGATTTAAATTTCTAAGGAGTGTGAGGATAAATCAATAGAGTATTCCAAAGATCTGCTCCTTGTGGGAGAGAATTGCACAATTCCACATATTTCCGTGTGTCCCTCTATCCTGCCCTTCAGGAGGGAACATTTCTTTGATGTATTGCTTAGGACTCGGTCATATGAGTTGGTCTGACCATGCGCTTAGAGGCACTGCAAGCTTTTGTCCCCCTCCCACCCATATTTCGTTTGTCATGAGAAGGGTGCCCACCGAACAAGGACTGTTTCTATACCAACTACAGCGACTAAATAACTTCTTGGAATTCCTGAAGTGATTTTAGACTCATACACCTTTGTAGCGAAGGATTCCTTTTAACATGCAAGGAAAATGAAAACAACGTGCTATTGTATCACACAAAGATGTTTATTACTTAAACGTTTATAAATTTTAGGATTTTAATCATGAATGAAAACGTTTCTGGAAAATGTTACACACTCCACATTAACGTTTGTTACTGGTTTAAGGCACATAGTGCAAAATACTTCTTTTCTGATACAGAGATCCCCTAATGTTTATTTAATCACACTGGCACAAAACTGCTTTAGTACCTTTTATGATACAATATAGCCTTAGTAAATGTTGGCGGGGGCACTTCGTGGGTAAAACTAGTATGCCACGGCTTACTGGCAAAAATCTATTAGTACATTCTGTTTGTTTCTTCGTCTTTCAGAGCAGAAGGCCATAGAGTATTATTATTTGTCAATCTGTCCTTTAAAATCATATAACTAAATAATACACAATAAAATTAGCCAATGGAAAAAAATCTATTAACACCTGTGAATTTCCCTCTGAACAGTTAGTTTTTATACTTTCATTTTTGTTCTGAGTTTAAGAAACCTCCAATATAAAATAACTTGAACATTTGCAATAAAATCTTTCTATATGTAAACAGAATTTTATGTTCACCAAAATAAAATCTTCAAAATTTCAGTAATTCTCATTTTTCAATTTGATTAATAAAGTACAGTACATAATGCTGAGAAAATAGATTTTAAAAAGAGTAGCTATGTACATATACAATAGTTATAAAGTTGTAATACTATATAAATATTATAAAAACACATTGCTCTTTTCAGTACAGTCAGATTGGAGGTAGATTTTTAAAATCAATTTATAATATATCATGTCTTCTAATACCCACAAAATTTTATATTTAGTATTTAACCCAAGCATGAATGTTTGATATAAAATTTGTACCACATTTTAAGGACTTATTTCTATTCACTAAATCATCACAACCCACAATTGCAAGTAAAGGAAAAATTAAACAAGGTATCTACACTGTATCAGTAGAAAGTATAATGGCTATGTATTTTTGATATTACTATTGATTTCATATTCACCTGACAGATTCAATAATGTTTCTAGTAGTTTTGAATAAAGGTTTTTTCCTAATTTTTACTCATTCCATTTTAACAGTAGAATAAACATTTCATTGTACACTAGGATACTGAGCAGACATGTACACGTGTGTCCAATCGTATGACGTAATTGTGGTCTGGTCTACACTGTGAACAGCAACACCGTCTCGGCATCGTCCCTTCAAACATGCTTATGTCCCCTATTGTAAATGATGTTATTTTTAAATCTTCCTGGTAATGTATGTTATGCTTACGTTTACGATCTTGAGTAATTTGAATCCCTGACGAGCACCCTGGAAAGAAGGCAGAGACATTGGACACGGAAATCTCATGAAGGGAGAAGCGGAGAAGGAGCACCAGCGATTCTGCACATTGCAGAGAGTCTTTCCTCTTCGGGCATGCTTCCCTCCTCTGAATGTTCACGTTACTTGAATTGGGAGACCAGTGGTCATGTGAGGAATACACTTTCCACAGAACCCTCCACATCTGCCATAGACTTTGGTTCCATCCTGAAAATGGGGAGGGGCAGAAATACAGGAGAATATTACACATGTGGGCATCAGAGTGCGCAGAGCAGAAAAAGCAACTGCTTTGAATCATAGGGCTGAAATCATTAGCCTGGGGCTCCTAACAATTGCATTTGACATCAAAGATCACATCATTTCACTATTAGTTCAAACTGATGGTTACAGGGCAGTGAAAAGGGAATTAAATACTCTGGGATTCATATCAGCTGTTTGATAATTATAAACCACATATGTAACCACACTTGATCTCAATCTACATTATTTTTCATCAGCATATCTATTTGGGCTTCAGTGAGTTCAATTTTCTGCCCAGTATTGTCAAAATTTTATATGAGTCTCCTAGATTAAATTTTTTAAAAAAGATATTATACAAACTTGACCTTTAAAACGCACAACTCATATTCTACATTCATCTGAAAGCTCTCCTGGAAGCCTTAGACACAAATCATGGAGAAAAGTATGTGTTAAAATGAAAGGGAAAAAATAACACCCAGGCAGAAGCAGTAATTACAGAGAACTGAAAAGTGCTCAGGAGGGTAGTGCTGAAATGGGAACTTCCTCTGCAGACGGCTTTCCATTTTTAGGTCCAGATCAAAAACCTTTGATAGAATGAGACAAAAGTAGGAGGACCACATATCATTTCTGGAGAAGGTATGTTGCTGCTATTTTTACTCTAGGAAGGAAAGGAAGGATTAAGAGGAAAACCTTTTATTTTTTTCTTGGGGCATTTTGAGATGCTCCCATCTCAAAAGACTTGGAGGTATTGAAGTTGCCTTTTCTTTTAGTCTTTTTAACTTCAGGTCATCTAAGTAAACAAAGAGAAAATGATGGCAAAAACTCAGCTTTGTATATCTTCTTATTCCCAAATAAATCACTGAAGAAAAAATTTAATCTTTATTAAACTTAGTGGTAGATGAAAACATTTGCATTTCCACCAAGTATATTGGGGATTAAGTCTCAGTTTTATAAGCACTGTTGGGTTCCCAAAAAATGTTTCCATGTGTACTTCATAGTCACCTGACAGACTGGATAATTTTTTAACTGAATTAGTTAAATAAGTAAGTTTTAAACAAGTTAGAAATAGGTGGAGGTAGAAGTTCTCTGCGAGTTACACAAATAATCTTGAGAAGTTAAACAGGAGCAAAATGAATGTTACTAAATAGTCAAATCTTCTGGTGATTTTTCTCAGAATAGAGTCTTTAGATTTAAGCGAAAGACAGCAAAAAGCAGGACACACGAGCTCAGAGTATTTTATTGAAATACTTCACATTTTAGATGCTCTGAGTATGTTTAAAGGAGTACTTGATTTACTCCTATTATTTAACAAAAAAATTAGACCTAAATATGTTTTTAAAAATGCCTAAAAACATTTTTTGAAAGCCTACTAATTTAACATATAGAAGAATTAGTAAAAATTGAAATTATTCAATTATTAAGGAACAATTTTATAGCCTTCAGAAAGTGTTTTAAGGGATATGAATATGAGAATATTGAATTTCACTTATAAATAATGTTTATACAAATAGGAGTATAACATTAATCATTTTATGAAAAGAATTACAAAGCATTGGAGTGGGTGGGGCTATTTCTGGTGCTGACTTATAGCCTACAGATAGAGACACACTGTCCAAGGAACAATGACCTTAAGAAATGAAGGAACTTCATCAAGTTGTGGATGTCAGTACACCATACCAGTGACAAAATTAAATGGACTCTCTTGAACGAAAGGGAGGAGTTGGAACAAGGTGAAAAGAATTAAGGTGTGTTAAGCGCATGTACCAACTCCCAACTCCCCACAATGAATGTGACCAGTGTGTACTGTAGACAGGTACTAATAAAAGTTGTAAAAATAACTGCATAAATAAACTACAAAATAATTATAACTGTACAAAGAAATGCAACATTATAATCTTTATGTAGCAAAATAATATTATCTACATTGTTATCTACACTGTTATTTAACAATGTTATCTACATAGATAGCCCAGAAAATACTGGTACAACATAAATAAATAATCTTGATTCTTAAAAACACTGTGAAGGAGATTTTTAAACGACAAGTCGTCTCAGTGTTCCCATCACTAATTTAAAGTCCTGGGATAAGTAAATCAAAAATTTAACCCCCACTTAGAAATATTAAATCCTAAAATCTTTAATAATTAAGGTATAGTTGAAACCATACCTCTTCCTAAAATGTTTACATTAGCTCCAAACTTGAGATGGACAAAGTTTGTATGTCCTGGCATTTGGTTTTCATGATCAGATATCTGTAGCCCATGTGTGGAGATAGAGAGGGATAGAGATAGAGATAGAGATAGAGATAGAGATAGAGATAGAGATAGAGATAGAGATAGATAGAGATAAAGAAATAGGGATAGATAGAGATAGAGATAGACTGAGATAGAGAGGGAGAGAGATCATATACATATACATGATATAAACATTCTGCATATGCACATTAATAAAGGAATTCAATTTCTTTTCACAAAATGATGTTGTGCTCTATTACATGTGATATACCCATCATATGCAATAACTCTCCAGTCACTCTGTGTAATTTAAATTTGAAGGAGAGGACCTTCAGTGCTACTCCTAACACAGCAGCAGCTCCCCCTGCTCTCTGGTCCAGCGGGACTTACTTGGGATCTGTGTATTGTGACCGATGCATACCTCCCCTGAGCAAGCCATTTCGCTGTGCTTGATATCTTCATTCCCGTTCCTGCCAGATTAATGCTGAACTGTCCCTGGAAGTAAACACAAAGCCAAAAAGAGATGTATTCATAAAAGATTTAAGAATACTCTTGGCTGGAAGCATCAAATGATTCAAATTACTTTTCAAGGGTCTTTTATAAAGTGAAAGAAAGACTAGCCTTACTTAAAGGAAATGAATGCTAAGGATTTTTAAACCTGATTGCAAATAAATCTTCTCACTTACAAGTCAGAATTAATAGTGCATGTTATTTGTGCTGGAGGAATTCTATCTAGCCCCAGGACTCTACAACTTGACATCTAGAGATGATGTCCCTATAATGATTACCAAGTCCTGATAGTGGACGATTCCGAGAGACTAACACTTGCCAGGTTAACCTTTCTCCTGTTCCAATTTCTTACTCTGATCACTCACTTTTGTGATATCACACTAACCTAACATGTTTTCTGGAATCTTCTATTCTGTACCATTCCCTAGTGTACTAAAATGATTACTTCTTTCACTACTGCATGTGTCATTTCTCATACTAGCTATTATGCCCTTTTTGAGCATCCCGAGTGGATGTGGGATGCTGCGTGATTTACATACACTGGGTTTTATGAACTAATACTTTTCATGTACAAGACCACTGTCATGTCAAAATATTTAGTATTATCTATGTTAATAATGGAATTATATATATCTGTCGATTGAGAAAATGAGTACCATGTCATTACAGTGCAGACTTATATACCAAAAAGTAGAAGTACCTGCTAATTCAGTCTATAGACAAAATGTGTGAAAATTTAGACCAATGTTAAGACATTCTTAGACACATCATCATATTCCTAAGACCCAAGACTCTCACAAAACTTGAGCAAGACTCTGATGAAATATTGAGATTTATATTATGTGAATAAAATATTATCTTTTCAGGAAGGTAAAGGCTAAACAAATATTAAATATATTTATAATATGAATATTACTATTGTTAAAAATAATCAGGTATCAATTTAGCTTATTAACTTCAATTTCTTAGCTGCCTTACATTGTATGTCCACGCATGGCTGAAGCCTGAGGACACCGTTCACAGGACTGCTCCATACCTAGGCCCCTTGATTTTTGTGTCTTTTCAGGCTTCTTACCCCAGTCCTTGCTTCCATGCCCCCCGCTACCTGTGTTTGTTGCCTTAAACTCTACGGACAATTGCCCCAAGAGAACAGAACAATCAATCAAACACTTGACCAAGATTTTACAACCATCCAAAGATTTTACTCTCCTAGATCAGATTAAGTCCTTCATTCCTTTGCCAGAGTCAGTTTAGGGAGAAATCCTATAATAAGGGAAAATAACCACAAATTCCTGGTGGGAAAAATTTCAGTCTTGGGAACCTTGGCTAGGGCCCATCCTAGGACTGCTTCTAATTGGCCCTTAGCTCAAAAGATCACATGTCACATGCCCACCAAAGATTTTCTGGAGAAACTAAAAGAGAGGGCAAATGTAACAGAAAGTGCCCCCCAAAGCCAGTATACTTCAGTTTCTTAGTTGCCCAGGTTAATAGTTCCTGTTCCAGTTCCAGTTGCTTTTGTTTCTTAGAAACACCCGGTCAATATAATGCACAGCTGGTCACTATAATGCACATTATATAAGCCAATACACAGTTGACAAGACATTCTGCTTCTGTACTTCCTGCTTGCTTATCCCATATAAGCCCTAGACCACCAGAGACTGGGGCCTGATATTTTGGGAATGATCCCAATCATTGCCCATTGATGTAAAATAAAACTTCCTCCAAATCCTGGGTGACATTTCAGTGTTTCTGCTTGCTTTTACAGTCCTACTGTATATATCTGTTTTCAGGCTAGTACCATACTGTTTTGATTGCTATCATTTTGTAACATAATTTTTTTGGGTTTTTCCTCCAGTACCAGGAATCGAACTCATGACCTTGATTTTGTAACATAATTTTAAATCAGGACGTGTGGTGCCTCCAGCTTTGTTTTTCTTTCTCAGAATAATTTTGGCTGTTGAGTCTTTTATATTTTCACACAGATTTTAGAATTTTTTCTGTTTCTGTAAAGAATGTCAGTGGGATCTTGATAGAGACTGTGTTCAATCTGTGCATTACTGTGAATCTCACAGACATTCTAACAATATTCTTTTTTTCATTTCATAAGCATAGGAAACAGCTCCGTTTCTTTGCATCTCTTGTTAATTTCTTTCATCAATTTTTTTATAGGTTTCATTGTAAAGATTTTTCCCTAATATAAATTTACTCCTATGTTTTAGGGATTTTAGAAATGCTATTTTAATAGAATTGTAGGGTTTTTTGTTTTGTTTTATTTTTAGTTAGGTCAGTGTTTGTGTATAAAAATACTACTGAATTTTGCATGTTTATTTTTTATCCTGCAACTTTACTTGAAATCACTCATTTGAAATCAATTCCAACTGTGTATGTGTGTGTGTGTGTGTGTGTGTGTGTGTGTGTGTGTAAAATCTCTGAGGTTTTTTTCTCACATAAAATCATGTTATCTGTTAAGTAGAGAAAATTTTACTTCCTTTTGCATTTGGGTCCCTTTTATTTTTATTTTATTTTATCTTTATGTTTTATTGCTCTTGCTAATTTTGTCAGTACTAGGCTGGATATTCTCGCCTTGTCCTGAATCTTGGTGAAAAAGCTTTGAGTTTTTCCAAATTGATTATATTAACTGTGAGTTTTTCACAAATGACCTCTATTATGTTGAAGAACTTTCCTTGTAGACCCAAACTCTTGAGAATTTTTAACAAGAAATGATGCTGAACTTTATGAAAGCCTTTTTTACATCAGTTGCAATGGCCACGTGGATTTTACCTTTCTTCCTGTTTATGTGATATATCATGTGGATGATCTGTGCATATGAATCCAGACTTTCATGACAGGGATTAATCCCACTTGGTCATGAACTACAATCTTCTTAGTATGTTGTTGGATTTAGTTTGCTAATATTTTATTGAGCATTTTTGTGTCAGTGTTCTTCAGAGGTATTGACCAGCAGTTTTCTTTTGTGTGTGTGATGTCTTTTGCTTAGATATCAAGGTAATGCTGGCTTCATAAAAATCTCCTCCTAACCTAATTTGGAAGGACAAAAGGCGGAGTCTTCAGGCTAAGCTACATTCCCAGTCCTTCTTAGTTTTTACTTTCAGACTGGGTCTCACTAAACACTAATTTGCCCAGGCTGGGTTCAAGCTCACAGAGCTCCTGCATCAGTCTCCCAGGGTTCTGGGATTGCCGGTGTGTTCCACCACAACCAGCTCTATTAATTCTTCTCTGAATCTGAGTTAGAATTCACCTGTGAAGGCATCTGACCCTGGGCTTTTCTTTGTGGGAAGATTTTTAATTACCTTTTTGGTCTCTTCATTTGTTAGTAGTATATCCAGGCTTTCTATTTCTCCCTGACTTGATGGTGGTAAGTTGTATATTTCTAGGTATGTGTCCTTTTCTTGTAGTTTTTCCAATTCATTGATCTGAAATTATTATAATCTCTCCTGATCATTTTACCTTCTGAGGTGTTGCAATTTCTTCACTTTCATGGTCTTTTCTCTTTTTTATCTTAAGTTTAGCTAAAGGATTTTCAGTTTTATTGTGTTTCTCAACAGCTTTTAGTGTTATTGATTTCTTATGGATTTTCTATTATTTCTGTTGTGCTTTTTCTTTCTTTCCTTCTAATAAATTTGAATTTAGTTTGTTGTCCTTTTTTATTTCCTTGAGCATTATGTTACACTAATTATCTTGGATCTTGTTTACTTTTTAAGGTAACCACTTATTGCTACAAAGCTGTCTTACAACCACTTTTTCTGTATTCCATAGGACTTGGAACACTGTACAATATCTTTATTAACAATTTTCTCAAGATGTTTTTAAATTTACCTTTTGGGTTTTTCTTTGAGCCATTAGTTTTTTGGAAGTACACTGTTTAATTTCTATGTATTTGTGAATTTTTTTCCCATTACTGATCTCTAGTTTTATGTCATTGTGGTCAGAAGCAATACCAGATATAATTTCAATCTCTCAAACTTTTAAAGATTTGTCTTGGGTCTAACATATGACCTATTCAAATATGACCTATTCCACACAATACAGAGAAGTATGTATAAGTGACTGCTTCGGAAATAAAGCTCCAAATGTGTTTGTTAAGTTCACTTGGTCAAAATACTACACAAGCCTAGTATTATTAATTTTCTCCACAATTTATCTATACATTGTTGGAACTGAAGTCTTGAAGTCTCCTATTACTATAGTGTTGGAATCTACTTCTTCCTTTGTGTCTATTAATATTTACTCAATGTATTTAGGAGCTCTGGTGTTGGGTGTAGATATAGATTTACAATCATTATGTCCTTTGACGAATTAACCCCCTTTTCAGTAAACAATGATTTTCTTTGTCTCCTGTGACAAATTTTTCCTTGAAGTTTATTTTAGCAACTGTAAGTATCGCCGCCACTGCTCTCTTCTGGTTACTATTTGCATTAAATACCTTCTTTCATTTCTTCACGTTCCTAAGGTTTACATGGGTCTTTAGTAGGCAGTATAGAGTTGGCTATTGCTTTTATCCATTCAGTATTCTTTTATGGTTGGGCAATTTAATTCACTGACACTCAAAGTTATTGTTGAAAAGGATTTCCTACTATCATGTTGTTATTTTTCTGGCTGGTAGGGCAGGTCTAGTGGTGATAAATTACTTCAGCTTTTGCTTACCTGGGAAAGATTTACTTTTTCTTCATTCCTGAAGAATGTCATTGGTAGGTGTGGCATTATTGCTTGCCAGTTTCCTTCTTTCAGAAACTTAAATATAACACTCTACTCTCTCTTGGCCTGAAAGGTTTCTACTGAGAAATTCACTCATAATCTAATGGGGAATCCTTTATATATGGCTCGATTATCTTTGTTGTTTTAAAAATTTTTTGTCTTTGAGTTTTGACATTTTGACTATAATGCACCTTGGAGAAGACCAGTGTATTTTTCTTTTCAATTTAATTTTTTTATTTTTAAAAATTTTTTACAGCGTTAGCTACAGA